GAACCCAAATTCTTTGTCATTAAGCCAGAGGTTGACTGCTTTCTGGAACTGGCAGAGTTTCCATTAGGTCTTTCAGTTTAGGTGCAATGTTTTAAAATGTCATGTGAGTTTGTTTGTTGTTGGTTTTTTAACAGAGTATGCTTCTGCTGGCTCACTGTTTGATTACATTAATAGTAACAAAAGTGAAGAGATGGATATGGATCATATCATGACCTGGGCAACTGACATAGCTAAAGGTAAGCAAGACAAGCGGTGCATCACTATCCTACAAAGCCAGCAAGTGTACAGCTGGAGATGCTTTCCCTATGAAGTCAGGAAAGCCTTCCTATACTTCCTTATTCAAATTGTAAAAAAAAAAACCCAACCAAACAAACAAAAAAACCCAAACCAACCAAAACCAAAAAACAACCCATCCACAAACCCAAAATAACCCCAAACATAAAAAAAGCAAACCCCATTCACTGTGCTTTTTAATATGTTCCTTGGTTGTTATGAATCCAAAATAATTTCTGGAGTGAAAATGGCTTCTATGAGCCAGTTTTACTTCTGGTTTGCCCCTAAGTCCCAAGAGGATAATTTTGCTGATGTAGAGTAATTATGAGGTAAAGTGCATAATTATCCTCACATCTGATTTTAATTGGGACATTTAAGGAAGCTAAGGGTTTATTCTCAGCAAACATACTGAAATTCTTCATACAATAATGCAGAACAAGCGTTTTTGTCCTTTGTGTTCTCTATGACCACACAAGAATTAGTGTAAACTAATGAATGAACAGTAAATTCATATCTTGGCTTCCCTGTGTAGACAACACCTCAGAGTGTTATGACGTTAAAAAGCATTAACATACCCATATAGATGCTCTGAGAAATATATGAGCTTTGCTTAGTGTTTTTTACTCAAAGTAGATTATGGGAAGCTTTGCTTCTCCTGCAGCATATCAGTATGGCATACAGGTATGCCAACTGGTAATGAAGGACAATTAATGGGAACCAGAAAACGTAACTGCTGATCATGCTCAGGCTGCCTAACTAGATTGTTCCCTTGTTTTATGTAGGAATGCACTATTTACACATGGAAGCTCCAGTCAAAGTAATCCACAGGGATCTGAAGTCCAGGAATGGTAAAGTAGCAAAACACTGAAATGCTCTGCATTTACTGTTACCTGTTAATGTAGCATTTAAATCTGTACCTAAGCTTTATGAACGTGCAGAACTAACTAACTAACGCCTTGGCTGTCACCAAGCTGCACTAGGAGTTGTTGAGGCAGAGAAGAGCCTGTTCCCTCCTCCCTGTCCCGACGCTGTCTGAGCTCCGTTGCAGTCCCTGGCATCCTTTAGGTCACTGTGGAGGGCTCTTTCAAATTGTGTCTTGCTGACCATGATTGTACCCATCTTACTAGCTGTCAGACATTGCCTGGGCACTGCTCACTTCCTTTTTCTATTTGGAAAGGTTGAGTACCAGGAAAGGCTGGGAGACACCAGACACAATAGACTGGATAAGGCCTATTATTTCTTATCTGAAAATCTTGTCTTTACTGTGGCCTGTTTTGAGGTTTGAGAGAGATTCATGCTTTTGAGTAATATGCACTCAGCGTGGAGCTGCACTGGTTAGTCTGTACTTGGCAGTGGATGACCGTTTATGAAATTTGCTGAACATTGCCTTTTAACTGAAACTTTCATTACTAGTAGTGGAATATGGGGGACACAGATTTTAATAATACACAAGGGGAGATAATAGTCAATAAAAGTCTAAATCTCACCTCAGTTGTAAGTTTTCTGCTTTTATTAATGAATCTTTCAGAGAGCTTCTTGTTAAGCCTAACTACATTGGGGAGAATGGAGTTTATCTGTATTTTAGCTATAGTTGTGTTGCTATCTTTGAACTCAGTAAGGCCTGAAAGGTTTTGCGTTTGTTCAGAAGCTTGCAGGTAGTCAGCAGATGTTCTCTAAAGCTTCTCAAAGAAACCAGGACAATCGTGGATATGCGCATGTTCAGGTGCTGGCTCGCCATAGGATCATTTTTCTTGATAAAAAGCAAAGTCTTTTCTGTGAAAATGTATTGTGTTTATTTTTAATGGCATTCTTGTAACGTATTGTTTCTTCATTTTCAGTTGTTATAGCTGCTGATGGTGTGTTAAAGGTATGAACACTTTAATTATTTGTAGAGAGATGCTGCTGCTTGACTCGATGTTTTGATGCCTCATGAATGAGGTTGATGCTCTAATATCTGTTTATTTTTTATTTATTTTTGCCAGATCTGTGATTTTGGCGCCTCAAGGTTCCACTCCCATACAACACACATGTCATTAGTGGGCACTTTTCCATGGATGGCCCCAGAAGTTATTCAAAGTCTCCCGGTGTCTGAAACATGCGACACGTACTCGTATGGAGTGGTGAGTGCCTCTCATTTCCATATGCGTAGTAGCAGATCTCTAGTGTGACAGAATTCGTGTGATGCAAGAACAACAATTCTAAGTAAGGACAAGAAAAAATACCGCATTTTCTTTCAAGACTGACCCATAATTTATAATTACATGCTGGAAAACGATAGGAAGAACAGTGTCTTTGCATGTTTCGTAAGATCCTTATCTGATTAGATTAGCAGCATGCCAGTGTGGGAAGTGCATGCTTTACCACAAGTATTCAGCATATGTCTGAAGGCTTGCAAGAGCCACTGAACAATCTGCATCATGAATCTCCGCTTGTGTTTTTTAGTGGAACAGAAGAGAAAAAGGTTGTCTTGCAATGGGTGTGTAACAGGATGAAATGATTAGGATTCCACTTTCCATAAAATGGAGTGTCACTGATTTTATATTAAAAAGTAAGCCACTTCTCTATGCTTAATTGTTTAAAAGACCCTGCTATCATTAGCTGTGAGAATAGAGACTGTATCTGTTGTAGCCTGTTGTAGGTAAAATATCTAAAAATATAGAAAAGGCCAGCATTGCTTTGCCATTTTTCTGAAGGGGGAACAATCAGTTATAGTTCACCAGGATGTCAGGTTTGCAGGTCAGTAATGTAAATTATTTCACTCTGTCCACAATTAAACTCTAATTTGGTTTTGCTCTGCAATACAAAATAGGCTAGAAATAGCCCTACTGATGAGACCAATCATGTGCCTAGCTCCATAGTGTTTCTCTGACAGAGAACAGTAATGAATGCTTTGGGGGGAAAAAGGAAAGGAAGTGGGGTTGTAGTTTCCATGCATATCTGTGTATTAACCATTTTTGGTTTTGGATTCAGTGGTGTGTGGCAGAATGAGGAATTCTTTCAGTACTTGTCAAGTATTGCATCTTTCTCTTTGAGGGATGGGAGGAGATAGATGTGAGGGAGGCACTATGGTTTTAAGCTAGCACCTATGGCTGTACATAGCTAAACTGATGTCCCAATGGAAGATGACTTAAACTTCTTGCCAAAGAGTTGTTTATAGTGGAAGAAAAAACCAAGAGAGATGATGTGGCATCGCTTACAAATGAAAAGTTGAAGGTTTGCAAGGAGGGAGAAAAAGCCTATGTTGGCAGATTCAAAATCCTTGCTTGCTTAACTGAACTAGGTCACAAACAGTAAGAGAACATAAGCTAACAAATGTAAATGCTAATGTAAACTGTTACTGGAAGCAATCACATATTGTCCACAGAAGGGAAACATTCCCATTTCAAAACAAAGCAAAAATGTTAGAGGAGAAATTCCAAACATGGTCTTATAGCTCAAACTGCTCACATAGTCATCTTGGTGTGAATTGACTTTAAGTAACATTCTAGATGTGGGAGAAGGTAAGAAATTGTTTAATATCTTATCATGTCAAGTATTACCAGAGCCTTGGGAACAGTATGTCGCATGTAGTTTATTTTTCCTCATCCAAAAAGTAAAGCTCCTTTGACAGTTCTGTGCTTGGAGGTAAAACTCAACTACCCTCCGTAGTTCAGTTGAAAACACTGAAAACAGTTTAGTGTTACTAGAATATTTTAATGTGGTTACGGATGTATAGTGCTACTTTAGTATGCCTAATAATGTTTGACCCACATTTTTTAATGTTTTAATTGTTTTTGAGCTAATGTGTTCTACTGTGGGTAGAAGCTTATGAATTCATAAGCACTTAAGAATTAATTTGTCTTTTTATAACTCCAGTCTTGGAACATCATCATTTTCAAAGGAGATACAGGGGTAGAAGTGAAGAATGGCAGTGGCCCAAGTTCTCTGTTGATGAAATTACTGACATAGTGGGGTTATACCAGCAAGAAATTGTCCGAATATAACATTGAAAGTTGGAATCTCCCTATAATGAGTGTTAGACTATCAGAGAATTAGCTAGGAGACTGCAAACAAAAAATCTTAGAAAGGATATTTTTGTCTCTTCAAATGATTATCATCTATAAAAACAAAATTTAAAGAATCCCTTTTCAAAGTGTAACACTTGCCAGCAGCTTTTGTGCTAGAGAGACAAATCTGCTTTTCTTCAGTTAAAGTCCTGTTAACAAAGAACAGAATCCTTTCAAATGTAAACTAGTAAGATGCTAGGAATAGATACTCTGTTTGCAGTATTTGTCGCCTTCCCCATGGTTTTCTTTAATTTCTTTTCTGCTATTTTTTTTTTCCTGACTGGCTTTTCTTTCTACAAACCAGACCGTGATTTTAAATATTCTGCTTAAGGTGTGCAAGAGCTTTTTTCCATGAAGTGTCAAAGTGTTTCTGCAACCTTATAGGTCTGAGTTGCTCCTCAACTGAAATTAATTTTCCTCTTTGTGAACAGTTGCATACATGTTTATAGCTAAGGTTCAGATTAGTTTGTCCTGCTTTTCATGGATTATGGTTAAACAGGTTCATATATTCTTTATGAGATGTATAGTAAATAATTTATAATACTGCTGTGAAATGCTGAAGCTAAATGTTCCAAGAGATTTATTACAACTCAAAGACAGATCTTGCACTTTCCTTCAGCCATGCTGTGATTCTCTTTTCTAATCCGTTTCCAAATCCATACTCGACACAACAGATACCAAGTATTACAAGTGATCAACCCAGAAATTGACTTGCATGTCATTGTGTGTGTTGCTCAAAAATGATTCCTTGCTTCTCTTCCAGATACGAAAGTGTATGTGGAATGACAGTGTTCACTCTAAAAGCTGTCTTGAAATCGTGAAGATACATGCTCTATCCTGGCAAAATTGTTCATAGTGCACTGCAGTGTGTGTTTGTGTATCAGTATGAATGTGTTTAATCATAGAAAGCTTATGCGATGTAGCTGAATTATTTTAACACTTACAAGAACAAAAAAGTAAAACCATTAATTGGCTATTGGTAGCATAGAGACTGCTGTTAAATGTAGCAGCTGTTACGCTCCTAGCAATAGTTCATACATTGCTTTAGCTATGAGAACATATGTTATTTATAGAGGGAATGTTGGCCAGCTCGAGGGATTATCCCTTACTCTTTTTGACAAGAATTATGAGATCTTTAACTTCCACTTGGATCAATGCAGAGAAGACTGACCTAATTTTCATGCCTAAGGGCAGTACCTCCAAGAGTGCAACACTTTCTGCTCATGCTGTACTTCTGCTGATTGTGGCTCCTGACCCTCATCTGGGAATACTTTCCTACCAAGAGAAAACATTTCTTTTTTTCAGTGAAGATGTTCAGAGTGTTTGCTTTTTCTCACATTACTCATTTAGATGTTCCCTGTCCTATATGGCACTTTGAATCTCTGTTGGCTTTGCACTGGGGTGGGGATGTGGGGGTTTTGTTGTTTTGTTTCTTTTCCTTTTGGTTGTTGTGACATAGTTGAGAGGATAAGAATTGAAACGCACAGCTGAGCTGACAGAAGTAAGTGTGTGAGCTTTTTCTGAAGACCATATAATTCTTATTCTCAGCTTCATGTATAGGATGAACATTCATACATTTGTCTCTCCTTTCTGTTTCTCTATGCAAAGAAGAGCCCAACGTCTTCAGAGGCCACAGTTTACAAACCACTACATTAAATGATCTTGCTTTGTTTTCCATCATTGTGTCTAGCTTGGCTGTTTCTCTGTGAGCACCTGCTGTCCGTCATCACAGAGATGTGATGTGATCAGGAAAGCAGGTGATCCTCACCATCAGAGATGGGAGGGGAAGTGAACCATGGCAGTCTCAATTAAATTACACCAGAAATGCAGGATAGATTGATTTCCATATGAGGTGAGCTGGGGAGCCAGTTCTGAAAACGAACAGAGTGTATCTCACAATAAAGAGGCCAGGGTAAGTCAGGTTGAGGTGCTTTTTCTGCTGCTGAATGACCCTGGGGACAGGAAGAGACAAATGGGAATGCAGAAGATACCCATTTGCTGCTTTTAAAAAGACTTACAATGCAATCATTCACCTTAGCTGATGATCCAGGGTAGCGAATCCATGAGATGAGGTTGAAGCTTCTATAAAATTGAACATGTCACCATTGGAAGGAAAGGCTTTATCTACACCATTGGCCTGAATATGAAATTTGCATTGTTGTTAGAACGTTTTCCAAACCTGTGGAAATAAATACAAGGATTTCTGACATTGCACTTTTGTATCTTTTACTTTCTTCTACTATTAGTAAAAAATAAGGCATTAAGAAAAATTCTTCGTATTGTGTCAGATTGCTGCTTTTCTCTTGAACTATGTGCAGTCTTGAAGTGTTTTAAGCTAGCACTGTTGGTTTAGGAAGGCAGTGATCCATACAGGCAGTGGAAATAAACGTTAAAGGTGTCATGAAGAGGAATTCAGTGCAAAACGTTCTTCACAAACTTACGTGCATGAATGAAACAAGACAACCCTTACAATTTACAGTCTTCTAAAAGAAGGGTAGCAGAGCAGTAGAGTTTTCCAGTTCAAGGCTCTTGGAGACATTTAACGTGTATCTCATTATGTTCTTAGAGCAGTATCTAAATACATCTTCCATCTGATGTGCAAACTTGAGTTTCTTCTCTGTGATTTCATGGTACAGCCGTACAGATGAGGTGGTTGTGCAAGGCTGCTCAATTGCATGTTTGATTTGGTCCAGGGGCTTTTGTTTTAAACTGGCTGTTTTGTATGCTGGTTTTTTGTCTGAAGTATATGGGACTGCTAAATTATTTTCTTCTCCCACAGTTAAATTTCCTTGTCTACCAGTCGAGAGGTGATAATTAGAATTACAAATTGAGGTGCCTTTTTTTTTGCCCCCTTCTAAAAGGAATGAATTGAGGCAAACAGGAGAGTTGAATACCTCTATGATAGCTTTCCCCATATATTTCTTATTCTCAGGAAAACTGTCCTTTCAGTTATTTTTCCAAGATACCCTTACCTTTACTAATCAGTCTTCTAACTCAAGCAGAATTATTCAAATAGGTTTCTTGGAGTACCCTGTTCACTTGATTAAAGGCCCAACTCTGCTTCAGTGCATTTTTTCTGCTTGAGCTGCGTTTTCCAATATTCTCACATTTTCTTTCTAATTACCTTCATAGCTGACCAGAATCCATTCGAAAGGATGTAGCTGGAATAAGCCTGGGTACTAACTCAGGTAGTAAGGATATAGAGACTTGGATATAGAGACTTGCATAAGGATCTTAATGCATTTGGTCAGATCCTACATAGATGATGTCTTTTTTGTTGTTATGCTTGGTATATGAGCAGAAGAAAAAGTTTGTATGTAGATATTTGTAACAAGACACGTATATGAAGGTTCTGATTTAAAAAAAAAAAGAAAAAGAAAGAAAGAAAAGGGGAAAAAAAAAAAAGAGACATATACAAGTGAAGGTACAAAGTGCCTGTTAATTTGGTTGAACTCCAATATGTAGTCCCAATGGCAGAAAACAAGTTGGATTCATTGACTTGAAGCCTTTTTGGTAATGCCAAACTCTTTTCTACCGAGTAGCTTAGATTCTCAGGTACTGTGTTACCAAAATGCTAAAAGCATGCGAAATTAGGAGATCTTTCTATATCTAAGGACATATCTGTAAGCTATCGAGGAGAACAGAGTAATTTTCTATATGCTGTATATTGTTTAGTTTAACATAATCACATACTTGGAGATAAACAATTACAGTTTTGCTTGCAAAATTATATTTAATATTTTCATAGGCATATCATAGGAGCAAAATACCTTTTGGATCATATTCTGACTACTGAGAAGCACTAGTTGCAATCATATAGAAATATTTTAAAATGCAAAATGACTACAAAGCAAAGATGTGTCTAGTTGGGGCTGAGAAGGAGAGGAGGAGTTCATTGTCTTCCCAAGTCTCAACTGCCAAATGTGAACTTTATAGTGTACAAAGAAAGTAAAAAGCATTTTCTATGGCTCTTACAAAATTGCAGGCATTAGACCCCACACAACCCAGTTTTTCATCTCGGCTTTTCTGTAGAGGAAAAAGCAGAAACATTCAAATTAATTTAGTAAGAGGATCTTGCACACAAACACTGGTCCAAGTTCCTGCAAATGGAAACTGGTTGCCTGATAATTGGATACTGAATAGTGCTGTATCAAGGTTTAATAATGTATTTAAAATACAAAGTACAGAAATAAAAATTCTTTTCTTTTTTTCTGTTCCAGGTTCTCTGGGAGATGCTAACAAGGGAGGTCCCCTTTAAAGGCTTGGAAGGATTACAAGTAGCTTGGCTTGTAGTGGAAAAAAACGAGGTAAGACTACGTTTCTACATTCAGGTACATAGATCAGAAAACAGTATTGGGGTTTTGCAAAAGACTTTTTCATCTTCTTCAAATTGAAAGTAAGTTCACGCGTATGGAAAGATTAGCAGTAGGAGCTAACACAAAGGGTCAAAGTGATGTTATTCCTCATGAATGGACCCTTTACATCTAATTGTTGCAGCTTCACGTCGTGATGCTGTAGATCAAAAATTGTACAAGTACTGTACTAGTTTCTCAGTCTCAATTGTAAAACCTAGGGGTTTGTTCTTAGTGATGAAAGAAGCCATTGCGTCCAAGGTAGGGGAACAGTTTAACTCCATCTCCTGCGTTTAGGACATCTTTTTACTGGCCGGGAGTTGATATATCTGTAAGAGACCTTCAGCTACTTCAACTTAACTCTCCCAGCAGGAGTCACTATAGTACAAGAAACTGCCGCTTAGATGAAAATTTCAAAAATAAAAGAAGAAAAAATAGTTTTAAAAAAAGAGAGAAATTACAGTTTTGCCACCTACGTTCAACACTACATTGAAGATGAGCTCCTCACTGGTATCGGCAAGGCTGTGGCATAGCTGCAAGCCTCCTCATGCAGAGTCTTTCCATTTCAAAAGCACTTCAGTGGTGTAAACACCGTTTGTACAGTGTCCCCAGCCTCGCTTTTCTTCTTCTCACAAATTGAGGCTTTCAGTTAGTTGGACATGTGAGCGTATATCTGAACACATAGTCCCTTGATATCAAAGACAGTAACTACATTTAAAAAACATTTAAAGTTGTGACTGTACCACACACAGACAAGCATGGAAATCCTCCACAAAGATGAAACCTCCTCTATCTAGACACAGCGGAAGCTTGGGAAACATTACAATGGCGAGGCAGTGGCTGTACAATACAGATTCCTATTATTCTACATAAACTGTTTCTCAAAATGCTTCAGAGTTAAACAGACGAGTTAGGTTTCCTCCTCTTAGTTTAATTTTTTTTTGTTGGTGTTTTTTTTTCCCCTCTCTTTTTTTCTTCTATTTGAGGACGGGATTAATTCCAGTGAGTGATACTGTGAAATACCGATTAGTTGGAAATGCTACACTAACAGCGTGAAGATTATGAATGTGGTCTTCTACAGCGTTTATCAGAGCAGGTGGCACAAAGAGACACTTTCTCCTAGTTTAGGAAAAGCCTCATACATCATTTTGAAGGAGGAACTATAAAGCCTTCCATCAACAATATTTGTTTCCTATGCCTACCACGTGCAGTTTTATGTAAGAGGCACAGAGTGGCATTGGGAATGTTGTAAAGAGATGTAGTCATACGCTGAAAGATGTCAGAGGGTACAACACACATTTCTCTACAGTTTTCCAGAGCAAGGAACTGTGTAAAATACAATATGAACAAAATGTGGACATGATGACTATTTTACTCATGGCTGAAGAAACCTAAGAGGAGACATTTTCAGAGCCAGCTGTTTGTCTGCCAGGTACTAGCCTGTTGCTACCATCTTCTTTGGAAGGGTGCCACGGAGCTTAGAGGGCATTAACACTTGCTTACATAGTTTTTATTTTTTCTGGCCATGGCTTGGGGAACATGCCCAGTATGAGCCTTGTAAAAGTCAGCTGGTGCTACTTTTCTTCATAGTTTCTATGTCCCAAAGCAAGTGTGAGGGTCAGGTTCTGCTCTCAGTTCAATCTGTTGACATCAGTGGGGTTGCATGGTTCTAGTTCACAACGGAATTGAATCAATGTTGAGCCAGTCCTTCATTTTTTGCACTGCAAGTCTCTTGTTAAAATCAGTGTGTGCCTAAGGCCAAAACGTAATTGCGTAGGGTGAAAAATCCCCCTTTGCAAAGCCTGAGCCCAACAAATGAAGTGGATCTTAAAGATTCTGTATGGGTCTTTTTCGACTCTCTGCACAATTTCAGTGTTATTTTTATTCTGGTAGGGTTTCTATATAATTATTATCTTTTTTTAATCCAGAAAAGAAAAACATGAGAGTTCAGATTATGCTAGGTGTGATCTCATAATAAATTACCACCGAGAAACGTCATCTTTATTATAATACGACACTTTTGGAACATGCTACCTCTATATTACATGACAGATAACATTCTGCACAAGTGAGACACATATAAATGGTGATAGCAACTGATTTTCCACCTCCTGGAACAGTGAGGGTTACAGACAAATACTGTAGCAAGACTAGCCAGTATATTTTTAGGCTAATGACTCAGCCAGAGATCAAGCACCAGTACAATTTGTTTATGCATTGTACAAATTTCTCTGTATTTCTTGCACAGAAAGCTTTGCATCTTAAGGTATTACATTATTTTAATAATCATACTCCTGCAGTGCCCTGGCTCTATATCTCATGTTTCCAGTTTTCATGGTGTTCAAATGCTTGTGGAGCAGAATTTGTTAACTCCTACTTTGGCTGCTGTGGCTTGTAAGGCTTTGCAGGTCACGTTGCAGTAATATAATGGTACGATTTGACACAACTTGTTCTGCTTTGCTTCTGAAATGGCAATAGTAGGACAGATCAAAGGTTGGACAGACCATCCTGGCAGGTTGGTCTGAACAGGGATGTAATACCTGGTTCTCACCTGTTACAGGACAGGGAACCCTTTTTCCAGCTTGACCCCTCTTATATTTGGACTCATTTTCACTGAGGAACTGTGTTTTATCAACATACTTTTTTAATTTAGAATGAAACATCTGAAGTTAGTTAACTGCCTTAGCGAGAGCAGGGGGATCTCCTTATATGTGTAATGTTGTTGGGATGCATTTTAATCAACTGGGGAGTCTTCAGTATCCGTGTGTGTATATGAAAAAGGATTTGCTTTTAGGTTTTCCAGTCTGGAGGCAGAGTCTTTAAACTAAAAGTCCTCTAAGACCGGCTGAGGGAATCTTTCCATGGTTTAAAACTCTCAGGAAGGGAAACCAAACAAGCTTCAAACTAATTCTCTGTAGTCAGTGTCCTGGCTATAACCAGCAACTCCTTGTCTTCAGTCATCAGGAAATATTTATATGAGTTCACTGTGCTCTGTGAGTGCTTTCTGAGATCTGCATGTCCTCATTAATCCTTCTGACCACAGGCTCATGAAACGTCTCATGTCATGTAGACATGTTAACTCTTTTTAACTCACTTAATGTAATCTGTATTTCAGCCATTTGTTATATCAGAAGTGATTATAGTATTGTACAGCTGGATCACCTCTGTGGGAGAAAGGAATTAAGGCAGGCTGTATGTTACATGTATCTCGACAAGCATCTTAGGATACCATGCGGTAACCTCCACAAACTACTATGTTTTAGTATTAAAAGCTGTTTGCCTTGTTTTTACTTCCTTGTCTCTGAGCTTTCTTAAGGAACTCCGTTTGTGCATTTGTTCCATCCGTTCCTTATAGGTCTATTAATTAGTTGTACATCTTGCTAGTGTTAGTAATTTTGATTTTTCTTTTTAATATGTCAATCCTCAGTTTTTATATTGTGTTTAAAAGAAAGAAGAGTGTGTTTTACTTCTTTTAATTGCATTGCTCTTACAGGAAATCTATTAGTAGCAGCTTAAAGGGAAATGCTTCCAATAACTGGTACATTCTCTCTCCATTAGAGATTAACCATTCCAAGCAGTTGTCCCAGAAGTTTTGCAGAACTGATGCACCAATGTTGGGATGCTGATTCAAAGGTAATTTAATCTGTGTTTAATTTCCACATTACCACCCCCTGCCTTGTTTTGCTAAGTGTGTTAGCGTTTCTTTGGGGGACGAGTCTGAGCTAACACCATTGATGCATGCTAATAGACACATTTCTTCAAAAAGATAGTTAGAGCTGTCTTTTTTTAATGGGTTTACATATTTATGCTTAAACGTCTCTCCTTCCCTTTTAATCAAGAGTTATTACGCCACTAACTTACCTGACTACTAAAGACAATGACAGTAAATAGAGTGAGATGGCAAGAATGTAGCCTTTTTGGAGCAAGTGAAAAATTTTTCTTTTCTATTTTCTTTCAATAGTTAATGTTTAATCTTTCTTGTATGTATGTGAGCATCATGTATGAAATATCTATTTCAAGGTCCAATTTTGATGCCTTTCTTGTGTTGGAAACATGTAACAAATAAGTTAATCCATAAAATGTGGGTAGGATCAGCAGCAATGCATTCTAAATTAACATTAAACCTTTCCTAATCTTTTCCCTTAGGACTTTGAACGATGAGCTTTATAATGATTATACTGTAAAAATATAATAACAGAAGTCCTGTAATATACTGTTTAGCCATGAAAACAGAGTAAAAATACAAGTTGAAGAGCCAAACCATTGTCACTATTAATCTGTCCCTACAAGAATAAACTAAAAGAGAAATTAAAGAGAGTATTTAGTCAGTAAAAGCTTTTGTAGATGATGGGAGTTACCTTCTTCAAATGGACTCTGCTACCATCCTGTTGTACATAAAACTGGCTGGAAGGAACTGTGGGCATACTAGCTTTATTACCAAGGATTAGCATCCATTTCCTTTGCCTATGAAGGTATTTGAGAGAGGGAAGGATAGTTAAGGAAAGGAAATTACGCTCTTTTTCTCAAGTCAGGGCACTAGGAAGAGCTTTGTTCGTTTAAACTCAGCAGAAAGTTAGCTACTACTTCAGAGAGACCAAAATTAATCCCAAGACGAATTACAGCGCTTAGGTGCTCTAAAGCTAGAACTTGCTCTCTCTACTACCAGAGAGTAGCCATAGAAGAATAATACGAGAAAGGAGATTTTCCTTCTTGGTCTCTTTTTTTTAAGCAAGGAGCTGCTTTCCTACAGAATGGATCTGGAAGGCTGAGATTCATCATCAATACATGGTATACACGTGAACACCCATTTAAATGCCATTCCCTTAATATCGCCCTCTTTATCCTCTCCACAGAAGGGAGGGGAGAAGAATGCTTTGAGTCTTTGAGTCTACAAGTAGACTGTTTGAGTTTTATGTCAGAGCTGAAGAGCACTTTCAAGTGGCAACTACATCTTTAATAACTACTCCCAAGCATCAGCATCACTACCAAATGCCACAGAATAAGAATTATTGGAGCTTCTTTTCTGTAATTGCAGCACATACTAGATCAGCTCACTCTCTGCCTTGCTCTAGCCACATATATAAGTGTCCAGAAGGCTGTTCCTGTTTTTCAAGGAGAGGGAGGGATCTGGATGTTGTAAAAGAGCGATGCCCAACCGTCAGGCTGAGTTCTGTCTGCACGAGCAATTCTCCTGGGTTTGGGCTGGTTCCTGGCAGCATTGTTCCCAGAAGCGTCTCTGATGCGTGCAAAGAGTGAATCTCATGTTAGATGGGTTTTTCTGACAGTCCGCTCTTTGCTACTTTTTTCATACAGCTTCTTTTCTGTTAGGCAATTACAAATGACTGAAATGGAGTAATCTCTGGCCACAGTTTGGGCATGTGACTGACTTAGTCACGTGTTGGGAAAGGAGTGCTACTTACAGCTCTCTTACAGCCTTGACAAAAGGCTGTGTGGCTTGCATGAGCCAAAAGATGGAGCACACTCCTCTAAAATACTGCTCTGTGTAACGTTCCCTTTTCGCCAGGATTAGCTTTAGAAAATCAGATCGTCGACGCATGAACAAGTTACAGAAGGTCAAGCAGGGGTGAGCTTCAGGATGCCAGCTGCTCAAAAGCAATTGCTAATGTGCATACTGTTAGCCTGCAGAAAGCATGAGGTATCTTTAGGTGGCTTACCCCTGCGAAAAGAGGGATGTGCATTTACTGTGGGGCTAAGGAATACACTTGGAGAGCTGCTGCAGAGCAGCTGGAGTGTCAGACACTGCTCACACCACAACTTCCTCATGGGAGTGGACAGAGTTATTAACTTTGCTTTGAATTCTTAAGAATTTTTTCATACATGGAGGAAAACGTCCATAGAGCATTGCTCCACATGGTATTTGTAATGGTAGTCTTTATACAGTTTAAACTGTGCTAGTTGAAACAGTCTCTAGTAGGTTCAAAGCATTTTACTAAAATGTTAATTACTAATTATTTTAAGTCACTAATTATTAAAGAACAATCTCTGGGGTAACTAAGTATCTTAAATAATTACTTCCACATGTTAAAATCCCTACCAAACAAGCTGCTTTTGCTTGGGTACTAAATAATTGTACAAACAAGGTTGCTCATCACAGATGCCTTTGTTTACTGGGGATACTTGCTTTTGAAACACAGGTGAGTGGTTCTTTCTCATTTCATCTGTTCCTTCAGTTTATCCCCATTTTAACATCAAAGATGTTTATAAATTACTGACTATTTTAATGGAAATCAGAAACCTGGGAACAGAGAAGCAGCAAGAAAGGAAAGCCATATGGATTAAATATCCCGGTTTTGTGCAGACCTGTTTAGTAAGAAATACTGAGTGGAAGAAAACAGTGAAAACATTAGCCAGAATTATTTCTAGAGGGGCATATATTTTAAAGATTTTTGTATGAGACATCACAGATATAAAGGGAAACAATTTTCAAAGGCGACTCATGCCTTGATATTTTAAGAATCTCTTATAAGGGCTGACTTGAGATGCCTGACTTTTTAGAAAGTGCTAAGCAGTCACCCACCGAAAATAAGACTTTTTTTAAAAAAGCTTCTCAGCTTAGGCTCCTAATTTCAACAATCACTTCTTACCAGTTTTAACAGGGTATCAGTGTGCACTTAGAGTGCATCTATTAAATCTGAAATTATTCTTGCCTAGGGGGAAGAAACCAACAAAACCCACATGACAGTATAGGCTTGTGTCTTCCTGTCAGCTTTGCCTCCAGGGAAAGCTGGTACCTGTAAATCTGGTGGCTACAAAGCTGGCAGGGTGGCTGGTGGCTGTTCAGAAATTGCACAGCCAGAGATGTACAAGCTTTGTCAGTACTGTGCGGCTGTGCATTTGTTCCAGCTCTACCGGTGCAACTCAACAGCTCCTTTGCCTGTAGTGTAGGACCCAAAGAGTGTGTTGCTGCTCCTCCCAAATCAGTCAGTCGGCGCTTTCACCCGCCCTGAGTAAAAGCCCTGTTCTTTGTCATTATCTCCACTCCAGTTACTCCAGGCAGGCCTGATAGTAGTGTTGACTGTGCTCACTTAGTGTCAGCCCTGCCCTCTACTTCCCAGTATACCCCCGAGAAAGAAAGAGCAAGCAAAACTCATGGAAGTGTTTTGTAAAAGAATCCTAAATAAGCCATAAAATATTGTAATTAATGCAGCATGGGGATGTTTGCCCTTCATCTCGTCCTGAAAATAGAATTAGTTTAGTATAGGCACGTTGCACACCTGCCAGTCCTTTGGACAGTACGTAGCAGCGGCAGTACCCTGGTGTATTGGTGGGGAGCCACGGTCTCCTGCCTGGCAGCTGCCTCACCATTTGGGAGGCTCTTGAATCCCCTCAACAGCTCACACCCACTGGGGTGGTTACAAGAGATGCAGCTGTAGCAACAAGAAGGGTGTGAGGGCTGTTGGAAGGTTCTCCTGCCCCAAAACTTCACCAGAGTTGTCTGTCCTGGTTGCTGCCAGGGATGAATTTTGTATTCTGTACCCCCGGCACGGCACACTCCCTGACCGGGGAGGTTCGTGCTCTTCCAGGACGTGTTCAGAGGATCTGCTCAGCCGTGGCCAGGTCCAGCAGCATCATGCATGTAGGGGGAGGACTGCTGCCTCCCCCAGTCCCCCCGGTAAATGCAGGGGGACCCTGCTGGGTTCCCACTGGGACTAGATCAACAAGTGCTGCTGAATAGGCACCTGCTGCCATGCTGCTTGGCGTGCCCGGGTGGCTGCTCCATGGACGCTGGGCTGGGGGCCAAATTGCATAAGCACATGGTGGCTGGGGCAAGCACTGTCTGTTGCAAAGAAAATCTGCATAGCTCATCCAACTGCCCGTTTCCTGAAATCATGGAGATGGACCAAAAAATGACAGACAAAGCCTCCAGTTACAGCCAAATAGTGCAGCATTGCAGTATAAGAGAGCTTGTCTTTTTTTTTGTTATGCATTTGACACTTTTTCATGCTGTTTGACATTTAAAATAAAGAAATTGTCTTTCTTTTATAATGTGGAAATCACTTGGATCTTCCTGGGAGAGACACCTCAGCATTGTTCCTAATTGTTTTTGTGCTCCCAAATTAAAATGCACGTTTTAATTGCGGCATCTGTAATTTTAGCAGAAATGGTATAATTACAGGCGCGATAGAGAGAGAATGTGCATCATCCCCTTATTATGTATCTACATTTTGTTTCAACCTTTTGTCTCAACCTTGTCTGGGGTCTGTCAAACAGACTAACAGAGTCAGAGCTCTTTCAAGAAACACATTTAACTGTGGCTTTTTCAGTTTCCACTTACCCTACTTCATAGCTTCCTTTTGGGACTAAGGGGAAAGTAGAAAATACAGAGAAGTTTTAACTGCTCTCCGTGACTAGTGTGCACAGCGGGTGCTGGATGGAAAGCCCTGTAAAAGTTCAGTAAATGAGCCCAGGACAGAAGAGCACAGACATCGCTGACATGAGCTCGGCTACCAGGCGGGACATCCTTGTCTGGCCTCAATCTTCACTTCTTCCCCGGCTGCTCCTGAGGTAGCTAAGTGCGAGGTTTTTCTGGAAAGTCTGTCCTTCTCTGCAAGAGGGGAGCTGCAGCCAGAAACCCATTTTTGATGGGCAGCTAAATAGCTTGGTCACACATTAAAGAGTTTGGGTTACTACCTGTAAAAAGCCATCTGTCTAATTACCAGTTGCTGATGGGTCCAGCCTTCTCTTTTTGGCAGTATTTTCCTTCTTAGCTTGAGGAAAACTTTGTTCTTTAGAATTAAGATTCTTGATGGTTATTGATGCTACTAATGTTGTTTAATGCTCTTATTGAGTACCAGAAGGTTTTACTGGTAGATATGGAAGACTAAGCTAAGGCTTGAGTCCTACTAGCTTATGTGACTCTTCCCAAAGTGACCTTTTCTTCAGTGGGAAGAACAAAAAAAAGAATCCCACCATTTACAAATTTACAATCCTCTTGTAGGATGTTGTGTTCAGAAAGCAGCAGCCCAATTTCTGTTGCTTGCAGTCTTTCAGTTGAAAAATTCCTGCAACTAATTTTACACAGTAGTAGTTGTATATGAATGCAAATGCTGTGTTGTGTTTTGCTTTGTTTTTTGTCTTCAGAAAAGGCCATCTTTCAAGCAGATCATTTCAATCCTGGAATCTATGTCAAATGACAGCAGCCTTCCAGACCAGTGTAACTCATTCCTGCATAACAAGGCGGAGTGGAGGTAAGTTTCCTTCCTCCCAAGATGAAATGATGTGGTTTTCCTTTGAAATGGTGTGAGTCCATATTTTTCAGAAAGACATCAGACTCCGATGATGTATTGGTAGAAAATAGCTATGCTTGACGTATTTTTAGAACGTAACTTACCTTGTTGTTTTTCAAGAATGCCCAGAATGTTGTGAAACTTGTGTTAGGAGCCAATACACTTAGCTGTACCTTATATTTATTATTACACTGGTTTAGGTATCATGATATTTATGGTTTTGTGATTCACATCTTAAAACCAATTACACGTTTTCAGTCAATAGTGTGGGGGCAAAACAACTCGGGTATACGTGTGTTTGATGCAATTTTCATAGAAGTGTATAGGCATGTTTACATTAAAAAAAAAAAAGATAACGGGCATAAAAGAATAGATTTTCAAATCATGCCTCCATTTGTCTTCACTTGTGTGTGTTCTGCCATTTTTTGTGCATTCTTTCCTTTGTATTGACTTTGTGTCCCTGCATTCAGCATATGCCTAGGCCAGCCCTATTTTTGCATAGTGCACCAGCATTGCTTAGGCATATGATTTTACCTATTGCTGATTGTCATTTTTATTCTTAAGTGATTATAAATGGAGATGAGATTTGAGGAAACTATTCTATTACACAGTTTTACAGTAAAAGTTTCAGTCTATTTTCTGTATGTGCCCAAACTTTAAAAAAACCCATCCCCGAAGCTTATTTGTGAGTTAGAAAGCTTGCCGCTTCGCAGTACATCCTTCTGTTTGGAAAAGAGAATTGAAAACAGATCTGTATAGGCAGAGGATTTTTACCAGACGATCGTGCCTCAGTCTATATTAAGAAGTGTTGGCCCCGCTCCAGGTAAGCTGGGAGCAGAAACACTACACGATTCCCTGCCTGCAGTCAGTGCAGGAGTCGAAGAAGCCTGGAGCGGGGGGGTGGAGGATGGGGAAGAGCACATGGAAATGAGGCTTGTATCAAAACCAGCATCCCAAATTTCCTCCGCGGACTCACGAGGAAAATCGAGACGTATAGTTTTAATCGGGCGAGTGGAAAAAGTGAGCTGGCGATGGGACGCTCCCCCGGTCACATGGCGGGAGTATAAATAGCGTGTTCCGGGGCCGGCACCGCTCCTGCCCTGAGTCAGCAGCGCGCCGGCGGCAGCCCCGCGGCCTC